CTGCAGGTGTACCTATAGGATAGTTTTCCAGAAATGGAAGTTCCAATCAAGGTAAATGTATTTGTAATTTTGGTAAATACTGCCAAATGCCTCTCCACAGGAGTTATATTATTTTGCATTTCCACTAGGCAAAGTATGCACCCCCAATATTTTCATAATATGTAGTACCAAACATCTGAATGCTTACCAATTTAATAGGTAAGAACTGGTATTTAAGTATAGTTTCATTTTGAATTTCTCTTATTATGAGTGAGACTGGACACCTATTCATTAGTTTGGAGATCATTTTATTTCCTTATACACTCACATCTTTTGTCCACTGGGTTGTTGACTGTTTTCTTCTCGTATTCTAGGAGCTCTTTACAATACTAGAGAGATCAGTCCTTTGTCTTTGGTAAAAATTACCAATATTTTTTTCCCAATTTGTGATCTGTCTTTTGATTTTGCTTATGGCAAACACAATGATTTCAACTAAGGCACAATAAGAATGATAAGCAATTTGAACTAGGATAGAGATTAAATTTCTCAGAACTACATACTCTGTAGACATAGAATTTAAATTTATTTTCTATTTTCTAAAATATAGACTTAGGTAACCTCATTAAGCAACTTTCTTACAAAAAGAAGATCTCTTAAGAGATGGCTTTCTGAAGTGGAAAGAACAAGTTTGTATCCAAAAAGATTACGCTGTGTATATGCAACCATATCTGTGTATATGCATGTTGGAAGTATGGGAATAAAGAACAAAAAGTGTGAAAAGGGAGGTAAGAGGACTGAGTAAGGAAGAGGGATAAACACAGGGAACCAGAGAGTAGGACAGAATCAGAAAAAGGGAGAGAGAGTTCCAGACCAGGAAAAGATCTCCAACATCATAGACAAAATTTAGGTATAGTGAAAGATGAAAAGTGCCACTCTATCACATAATACTAGATCCAGGCTAAACTGTGGGTATACTTTACCTAATAAATAATTGATCTTTATACACAGGGAATAATATGAAAATCAAGGGGATTATAATTTACATGAGGAAAGATATTTAGCTGCAAAAAGGTAATCAATATAGAAGATTAAAAATAGAGTAATAGTCTAAGATTACTTTCTTGTTAGAACATAAAAAGAACAATTATATTTAAATTATTGAGCACCATAGTAAGAGATTATATAAAACATGAAAGCATTGAAAGGCATTTAAAGAAAAACTGAAAGAAAAAATATTTTAAGTAGACAGGACTAAAAACAATAACCTTATCTCCTGGCTTTATTTGGAAATCAGTACTGCTACCAGAGATTTTACAAACTTTTTTATAAGGTGAGTATTTCAAAAGTCCAGAGTGGCTAGGCTGAACAAGATCTTCCAAAATGAGCCTTTCAGACCTTGAGGGATTAGTGGCATAATCAGAATTTTCACTTGGACTAACACTAGAGATAAGAGAGAAAATATAATTTAGTTCTTATATAGTTTAAGTATTCACTATACATTGCTATGTATTAAATAAGAAAATAGAAAGGAGACCTGAAATGCTGCTGACAATCAGATTCATAGTTATAAATGTAAGGCAATGTTTCCACTAAATTTTAAATAAGCCATAATTAGTCATATTTCTAGAGCCTCTATGCTAAGATTATTAAGATTACTTAGAATTCCAAAAGTTGTCATAATAATAAACGATTAATAAAGTACAAAATATATATTTTATACTGAGATTTAATACATTAAGGATGTTTTTAATATATACACACTTCTCTAATATTCTTATTTCTCCATAAACTGAGTTACATTAAAAAGTATAGAAAACTATTTAATCCAGAGGCATACTGAAAACATAATATATGATAATGAAACCCATACATTTTACATTCATAAATTAACATCACACTCTGAATTCTTAGGTGATTTTACTTACTTACCTGGATAACTCTTCCCCTAAATTCTGCAAACTCCATTCTGTTATCTTCAGTTCATTTCTTAAGGAAGCAACATTTGCAAGCAAACTTTCTTCTTCGTTGTCTTTATTATAATAGTCTGATGAACTAGATTCCATTTCTTAAAAAAAGAAATGAATTTCTTATACCTTGCCTGAAAGATTCTGTGGTGTCAGTCAAAATATTCTACCACCAATAAAATTTAACTCATTCATCACTTCTCTATTTCAAAAGCTGCAGTCTTTCATGCCAGTTTAAAACCAAAACAAAAAAACAATAACAATCAATTGCTCTGTAGTGTAAAGCCATAATGGAAAGTTCAATACAATGTCATTGTATCAATTCTTCATTTTAGCCAGGGTCTAATTATTATATTTCCCCTTTTCTAATGACATCTTATCCTCTTAACAACTGCTTAAACAAAATATTTTTATTCCATGTTAAAGAAACTAAGAATCAGACATTAAATAACTTGTTGAAAGTCAAACTGTCAATGGTGAAACCAAGATTTGAATCCAGGTCAATCAGGATCCAAAGATGTTTTAATTATGTCACCTTGTACTTGTCTAACTTATTATTTATTATATATCATTATCAACATGAAGTATTTAAACTTTCATAATCATGTTATAAGCTCTGGACATCTGATAAAGTAGTATCATTACAGTCACTTGTATTTTCTTTTTTTTTTTTTGAGTCGGAGTCTCACTCTGTCGCCCAGACTGGAGTGCAGCGGCCGCTCCCAGCCACCGCAGCCTCGACCCGCTGGGCTCCGGCGATCATTCCGCCTCAGCCTTCCAAGTAGATGGAACTACAGGCGCACACTACCACGCCTGGCTAATTTCAGTTATATTTTCTTTGAAGGCAATTTATTACCATATATAAGTAATCTCCTCCTCCCATTCACAATGGTTACAAAATTTGAAAAATACACACATTTACAAGTCACAGCCACAGAGATCAAAATAACATTTGACAGGTCAATTCTTATGAAGAAAAGCTTTTGTTTCTTCAATGGATGAGTATCTCTAGGGTTGTGAAACTCTACTAAATTCCTTCACACATTAAAAAAAAAAAATCATGATAAACACCATACTTTATCATTGACACCATACTTTATTATTGTAATTAATACACCACAGGTTCAAGACCAGCCTGGGTAACTTGGCAAGACCTCATCTCCATAATAAATCAAAAAATTAGCTGGGCACGGTGACGCACACCTGTAGTTCCAGCTACTTGGAAGGTTGAGGTGGAAGGATTGTCTGAGCCCAGCAGGTCGAGGCTGCGGCGGCCATGAGCGTGCCACTGCACTCCAGCCTGGGCGACATAGTGAGACTCCGACTCAAAAAAACCAAAAACTAAAGCTTTATAATCTCTACTACTCCTGTAGCTCTTTCTGCGTAATCTTCAAATTACATTCCTCTTTCAGATCCCATTTGCCTTTTTTATTGTACCATCTCTCTTTCAAGATCTTTTTCCGACCATATCCCAAAGTCCAAAAGGTTAGGGGTCCTGTGCATTATGTTCAGGACCGTAATGTACTTGGAGAAGCTCAACGTTTTGAATGAATTATTGAATACTAAACGGCCATTTCTTCCCTCAGTTAAAATAAGATGCTACATTCATTTCCCACTCAAAAACTCTTGGACGTAGAGAGGAAAATTAAAAGAAAATTCTCACCTTATCTGAAGAAATTGTGGCAGGAAACGAAATGAGATGCTACGTAATCTTAATAGACTCTTTCTACCCTCTTTTCCCTTCGGTTTCCTCAAATTTGCTTTTGCTTAAGTGAGAAAGCTGTCCCGGACAAAAGTCAATGGATCAGGTCCCCATCCTGCTTTCGGGATGCAAAAACATCTCTAGCTCCCTGTTGGATGGTGGAGATAAAAAGGGAATGGGGCAAGTTCTAACATGCCATTCGGCATTATCATCTTAAATCGGGTTTTATGTTCAATCTCTGTGTATTTTCATGTAAGAATTTTCTAGTTTCTGGAGTAGTAATAAATACATTTGACCGTGAAATATTTCCACTTTCCTAGAAGACCGTTTACCGTGTTATGACTTTTCCCGCTTCCATTTACAGCAGTTACAAAGGCCTGCCGCCATCGCCAGCGAATAGGCGGACAGGCACACCCCCCATCACAGACCCTGACGTCGCCTTCGGGCCCTCACCCACGCGTTGCAGGTGCGCGCCCGCACGCCCATCACATCCCATGCTCTTTCACACCCCCTGCATGTGATGCTGTCGAGAAAAGATTCTTCCCTTTGGAAAGAAGTCATAGCTTTATACAGCAGTGTCCCGTCTCAAGAACTCTCAGTATGACACGGTTGGCCCTACATATGTCTGGAGGAAGCAGAAGAAAACCGGGCTCCCTCCTCTCGGATTTTCCATCAGATAAAACACAGCCCTGCAAAGCAGCACGCTCCGCAAGCGCGAGGACCGCGGGGAAGCGCGTCCTAGCGGAGAAGGGGGAGGGGGCAACACTCCCGCAGGTAGGCCGGTTCCACCCGCCGAGGGCAGTCGCTCACCGCCCAAGTCGTCGCTGAGGAGACCCCTCCACGACCGTGCATGCCGCACGCTGGTCTGCGACGGGAAGCCTCGGACTGCTCCCGGCCCCCGGCGTGGAAGCCCCGACCCGGAGCGGAGCACCAGCCCGCAGAAGCCACGGCGTCCGAACCGCCGCGGGAGCCGTTGAGAGGCTCCGCCCCTTCGCCGCCCCCCCCCCGCCTCCCC